TCTTGGACAGAGTGAGCACAAAAGATAGAGTTTTTAATTCTTGGAGAAGTAAGGAGGAGGGTCAGCAGAACTGCCACCCTGGACTTTCGGAGGGCAGGCTTTGGCCTGTTTAGGAGCCTGGTTGACAGAATCCCTTGAGAGGCACTCCTGAAGCGCAAAGGAGTCCAGGAAGACTGGACATTCTTCAAGAATGAAATCCTAAAGGTGCGGGAGCTGGCTGTCCCGATGTGCCAAAGGAGGAGCCAGAGGGGAAGAAGACCAGCCTGGCTGAACAGAAAGCTTTGCCTGGAACTCAGGGGAAAAAAAAAGGAGAATTTCTTTGGAAGAAAGGGCAGGCTGGTCAGGAGGACTACAAAGATGTCGTGAGGTTATGCAGGGAGAAAATTAGAAGGGCCAATGCCCAAGTAGAAAATCTGGCTTCTGTCATAAAATACAACAAAAAAAGTTTCTATAAATACGTTAGCAACAAAAAGAGGACTAAGGAGAGTCTCCATCCTTTATCGAATGCAGGGGAAACATAGTGACAAAGGATGAGGAAAAGGCTGAGGTACTTCACGCCTTCTTTGCCTCAGTCTTTAATAGTAAGACCCGTCGTTCTCAGGGTGCCCAGCCACCGAGCTGGAAGAGAGGGACAAGGAGCAGAATGAAGCCTCCATAATCCAAGAGGAAATCATTATCGACCCGCTAAGCCACTTAGACACACACACTTCTGCTTGACACAGAGAAGAAGAAATCAGGTGGTTTAGCTTTACATTATGTAGAAAGCCTAACAAAACTCAGTGTGACATCTCAAGGAAGGAGATGCTGCTTACTTAAAAAAAAATGTAACTGATTTCACTGATCTTCTTGGTATTCACGCAGCCAAACCCACCTATTACAAACACCCACGTGTGTGCTGAAGTGGTCTGTCTAGGATCACCCTGTGTAATGCGAAGGACGAGGGATGCTTGGCTTCTGAGTCCCTGTCATGTCTCTTGGGTTCCTCCTGAACAGTCATGATACACTGACTTTGGTCAGGTCTTTTTCTACCTTTTAGAAGCCAGCGCTTTACTATGCCATAATCCTTTTGCTAGGGTTTTGGTTATTCCAGCCTCCGTAAATTTTAGGCAGTGCGTGTCCATCGTTCATTTCCCTGTGTTGTGTTTCTCTGGGCTGGAAGGAAAAGGAATGACATAGATGATACACTGTAACTTTATTGCCATCTTAATACCACAGTGTCAAGTCTTCACTGAGAAGTTGGTTCTGCTGCGGTTTTACGGAGCGCAGATGTGGTGTTGACACAAAGGACACATTCCTTAGTGTTTTATTGCTGTCAGTTGTGTACTTGCTTATCCACACGGGCCATTCCTTTAACCCTTGCTTGGTTTCTTCTGATGATTTCAGGCGCGCTTTTGTTCATTTTTAACAACCTTAGCATTTGTTACAAATCTCTACAATATGTTTACAATGTGTTTTTATTGTTAAAAAAAGTAAAATACTGCATTATTCTGAGCCGTATGTGTTCACTGGGGTAACTTCTCAAGGGGCGTGAACTTCATTAGGTAGCTACTGAGAATTCTTGGGCATGAAAATCTTAAACTAAGTGCTGTAATGTTATTCAGAAAAAGAAAGAAAAATCACCAACAGTGGAATTGTTTAACTTTGTTTCAGCCATTGGCTTCAATGTTGAGACAGTGACATACAAGAATCTGAAATTTCAAGTTTGGGACTTGGGAGGACAGACAAGCATAAGGTAAAAAAAACTCTTAAAATGAAAAGACAGCTTCTCTAAAAAGTCCTAAGTTCTTGGAATTCTTATAGCTGGCACTTTTGAAAATTGGTTCTTTTAAGCTTTAAATCCAGGCCATCATTAGGAAACCACTTTCATCTGACAATTCAGGTGGTACAACCTGTTTTGAAGCACAGATTGGAAAGAAACAAAGTGAATGTTTTCACATGTATACAGCTTGCTTTGAAAAACAAGTTTACCTGTGTAGTAGGCAATTGTGCAGCATTCTGAGAAAGAGGGGAGTCAGTGAGGTAAACCCAAATCCAAGATACTTAGATGTTCTTAAGAATGAAAATCTAGGAAGTTGACTTTCAGTGTAGATGATAATTTTTTTGTGTGTGCAGCGAGCTTTGCAAGTTTTGTTATGAGTCATGTGCCTAATTGTAGCGAACTCTTCAGAACCCTTGTGTGATCGTTTTGTGATTCCTTTTTGAACCCTAGGCAATAAGGTGCAACATAGTTAGTCAGTAAGTGAGGTGCAGGCTCCACCCCTTTAAGATTAATTCTGAAAAAGGTGATTTGTTGTGATGCTTGTTAATTACTTGCCCATATGAATTAAGTCATTTAAGATTTCTGTTTATCCTTCTTTGATGAACATAATGACTGTCTATGACAGAAGCTTGTGTTTGAACTCTTTTGTTGCCCTCTCCCTCAGTTACGGACCTGATGTCCTGCAGGCTGATTACCAAATAAATCTTTCCCCAGCACTTCTGTCCTTTGCCTGTTTTCAGGCTGGTTGGTGGTGGGGGGGGTGTTTTGGTTTTTTTTTTTTTCCCGGATATTGAGAGTATTTGTACTATCTGTTCCTTTTTGTAGCCTTTTGAAGATATCTTCTAACTTGCTTCCTGGGGCCTTTCACCCCAGAGACAGTTTTTACTTCTGGGTAATCTGGTTTTTATTATCTTGCTAAAAAGCATGGCTAAAAGTGCAAATTATGTGACTGGAACTTATATTTCTTCTGCAGGCCATATTGGCGGTGTTACTATTCAAATACAGATGCAGTCATTTACGTAGTGGACAGCTGTGATCGAGACAGAATTGGCACTTCAAAATCAGAGCTTGTTGCTATGTTAGAGGTGAGAAAACAACGATGACGATTGCATCAGTAGAACAGAAACTGAGAAATTAAAGCCTTTTTTTGGTGTGAATGTGAAATTTGATTCAGGGAATCAAGTGAAGCTCAGTTTCACTTGTGAAACTTCAGCCCTCAGAGCAGGCCTGTGCAACACTTCTGCCTGAAAAGCACTAAATCCGCTGCAGATATTTCAGAGTTTTGTGCATCACTGTCTGGGCAGTAAGTTACATGTAGCCTTGTGGTCATATGAAAATTTATCTGTCTGAAAGGACAGCTGCTCAGTACTTCTGTGGTGGCAAAATCGGGCCCTGAAGAATTAACAGTAATTAGTATCCTACTCTGCTCTGAAGCTGATGAACACACATAGGACAGAGTAATAGGAGTAAGATGAGCTGAGCAAAACTTAATTATTCTATTTTTCCAAAGTTCCTGCAAACTCTTTGATATGCTTTGTTCAATCCAACTACCAGCTTGTTTCATAATGTAACAGGCATAACAATGTTTTGAAATTGTTTCTATGTGGTATCATGCTGGGAGGAACTGGAATTGAAAGTAAATACCATTCTTTCACTGAAGAACTTTCTGAGGAACAAACATCAGCAAGCTGAAAATGATTATGAGAGTTGCTGAAGTTTCTTATAATTCTATGGGTTTTTCTGCTTAAATAAATTCAGTAAAAAGTCTCTGCAACAATTTTCATGATTTCCTTTTTAGGAAGAAGAGTTGAAGAAGGCCATTTTGGTGGTGTTTGCAAATAAGCAGGACATGGAACAGGCCATGACTCCCACAGAAATGGCAAACGCACTTGGCTTACCGGCTTTGAAGGACCGAAAATGGCAGATATTCAAAACCTCTGCAACTAAAGGCACCGGGCTTGATGAAGCAATGGAATGGTGAGTAACAGTCTAATTATGCCAGCTTTATTAGAAAACTATCTTTTACTGTGGTTTTTTTAGAAGACTGGATCTGTGGAAAGTCTGACACAAAAGACATTCAGTCAGTCCACATTCAGGAGAAAGCTACTCTTTCTTCTAAAGTGTCCCAACATTAATTGAAATGACTTTTCAGTAAACTGACTTAACCTTTTTCTAGGTTGGTGGAGGCCTTGAAGAGCAGGCAGTGATAAAAAGCTGACCGTTGCAAGGAAGTTTCAGCTATAGCCGACATCCCTCTCTGCAGTCAAGCATCTTCAGGCCACAAATACTTGTACATAGGACAGATTTGAGTTTGACTCCTGTAACGTGGATTCCTCTCTTGAATTGTAAAACTGAACCAAGTCAATGTCTGTGTACGTTATGATATTCCATTTCTTTCTTTCTGTTTAAAGGATGTACTTATGTTAATTTGTATGAAAGTCTTACTGGCTGGGAAAGGTGGTTTTTTTGTGCCCCTTCTGCCCCTTGGTGGTTTTGAGTGGTCACTATATTCATGTAATTAAAACACTAATAAAATCTGGAACTGTCAACTGTACTCATAGGTGTGTTGCTTGCTAGAGGCTGCCTGCTCACAGAAACGAGTCCAACTACTGCCAGTTCTAAGAATCACGTAGCTGAACATTTAAAGAGGAAAGTTTCCTTAAGCTGATATTGTTGCACTTCAGAATCCTTCAGTTGGATGTGCTGCTACAATGAAGTACAGCAACAGAGATAAATACTGTACCTCTAGCTGTTCACGTAGCATTGAAGACCTTTTTTTTTCTTTCAGAAAACCAGTAGCTACCTCCTGCCCTGATGTGCCAGGGCCATAATTTGAATTTAACTTCCACCTTCATGAACTGTTGCTCTCAGCTTCACCAGAAATGATGGTTAAGCCACTCAGTGTAGCTGCAGAAACTGGAAGACAAAGCAGGAGGCAGACTGTTTTCTCTCCAGGAGCTAGGATGTTCACAGGCATGAACACAGTCATCACATAACCCATCTTTTAAAAATCAAGTAAAATTTAATATAAAAGATCACGGTGGTTGTTCATTCAGCTGTACATGCTCTGGTAAATGTACAGGTTTGGAAAAAAATTGAAAAGCTTTTATTTTATTTAAGATCCTAGCTGAAAAAGAGGACATGAAAAAATACTAATAAATAAAATTAAAATATGTAAATACTTTTAAAGCAGTCATTAGTTCCCTAAGTTTGAAATTACTTTTTATAAATTAGTCCTCCAGGAAGAAAAAGCCTTTTCATTCCACCATCGCTAAATCTTTCAGTGCGTGACTTCGAGGTCTCTTGGCCTTGTAGGTAGGCCGCAGGAATTCTATTTTTCTTTTCCTAGTTTCTGCTTTATTCTTATGTCTCTTCAGCTTCCTCCTTGCAGCAATGTCAGGGTTTGCTACAGTCTAGTGAAAAACAATAATTGGTTAGTTGTAAATAAACAAACAACTGTCCTTGTAAACAGGGACTCGCCTTCCCAGTCAGCTCTCAAGCCTTTAGGAAAACCCTATTTCTTTTTCCCAGAAGAAAACACAGCATCTTACCTGCAAAGCCCTCTGCTTTTTCCTCATGGCTCTTTTCTGATTGGCCTGTTTCTGCACAGAAGAAAAGGCAAGCGAAAAAGCCTCCAGTCCAACTAACTTCTTGAGCAGTTCTATGATTTCTTGGGAAAGATTCTTCAGTGTTGGATCTAATAAAACAAAATTAACTTGCCAGATCTTTTCAGCACATGGAAGGAAAGCCAAGAGCCCAATAAGGATTCCCCTTTCTTCACTAAAGGATGACTGTAATGACTCGTCTTGCCCAATATACTGTAGGGACCAGAGCAAAGGTGCTTGTGAAATCTGCTGGTTCTTCACTAGCTTTCCCAGAGGACAAGTAGCCCTTCACACAGACAAATAAAAACATAATGATTCTCAGAAGCAAAAGTTTTTTTCAGAAGGATAATGGCATGCCAGAGATTATGAAAAGTGGCTTGCCTTCTACAGCAACCAGGGCTCTTTTGGAATAGACTTTGTTGGAACTAGAGATGATTCCAGCTTTGTCAGTCAACATATCTGTCCAGTCCGCACAATAAGGGCTGGCTTAATGGTTAGGATCACTACTTAGTTACAATACATTGACTACACTCACTGCAAAAAAAAAAAAAAGATACTGGGGGGAAAAAAAACAGCTACAAAGAGATGCTAAGGCAGAACTGAGATTTTGCAGGGCAAATGTTTCCCTCAGTTCTCCAACAGATCCTTCTTCGAAGTGCTTGTACAGCATCCGGAGGAGCTTGTGTAAGCTGCTTGCCTCCGCAACGTCCTTCAGTGACAAGTTCCCTGGTCTACACGCCCTATCATGTGGAAAACCATCTCTGCAGTTATTCTGAAAAATTATTTGAAGGCCCCAGGTTCTTTTGCTGGCAGAGAAAGCAAAAAGTTGATCTTTATCCACTCAGGATATTGTTAATCTCTGCCATATCTTTCCCAAGTCTCTTACTTGCTCAGCTCAAAAAAAAAGGGCAGCCAAGGCAGCTGTTCCTTACCTAGAGCACTGTTACTGCCCTCCTCCAAGTTTTTTCAGTTCTTTTGTATCCCTTCTGAGATGTGGGGACCCAGTGCTGCACACTTCATTTTCATGGCATATACAAACCACCCATGTAGATTGGTTTGCTGTCTGTTCTTTTCCTGACATTGGATTTTGCATGACTTAACACATTTTCACAAACTACCTAAACACCAGTGCCTTGCTCTAAAGCCAAGAGTCTGTTGTGTTAAATGGTAACTTAGTTTGTCTTTCCCCCAGCAGACATGACTTCTTAAGATCTTTTAAACAAACATGGATCTCCAGGGAGGAACAAGTGGCTTTGCTCAGGTACTCTCCAGCAGGACAGTTAACTTTCAGTCACTGTGCACACATGGCACATGCTAAATATTCAAAAAGGGGAGCTTGGGAAGAACATCAAGCAACCAACAAACTGATGATTCCAACTTGTGCAGTCCCTTGCTCTACAGTAACAAGCAGCCATAAAACACCCTGTTTTACATTAAAAGTGAAACACGCTTTTAACCACAGGGCATGGATCTTCATGCCCCTAAGCGTCACAGCAGATCTAACAAGGCAATTCAGAAAGAATGGCAGTTAGTAACAGCCTTACTCTGTCTTCCTTAACACCCACACTCTGTTCCACTCCTCAGCAAGGACTCCATGAGTCTTGCCACCATGAGTCCACCCCGGATTATGACACTTTTTCCACTATATCACATGCTCAAGCTTTACCCCCTTGCATGTAGGAGCCTGCCTAACTTAAGTTCACTCTTTTTTCTTTGTCAATGCGTACATTTGTGTTCCAGCTGTCAAGGACTCTCCAGACTGCAAGCAGGTGAAATTCACCAATTATGGCATCTGTGCCTCAACAGACAAAAGGAATGACAGGTGGTGTTTGTGCAGAGACAGAGCTCTGACATGCTTTCTTCTCTGCTAGTCTTTGAGAGGGAAACCACTTACCTTGCTCTGCATAGGTGCTGTTCAGCTCCCTGTAGAGAGGGGTGAGAATTGTTGGAAGGTATGGCTTGATCCTGTCTTTTCCCAGATCCACTGAGATTGCTCCCAGGAACTTAAAGATACAGCTTCTCTGAAAATGAGTGCGTGGGACGTGAAGTAAGGATGGTTAGAAGGAAACTGCCTCACTGAACTGCTGCAAAGAGGGCTGTGCATCACTGATCAACGTACAAGGCGTTGTTTCAGACACTCGAGTCAGAACACTGCTGTTAGCAGGTCTTACTGCAGCCAAGTAACACCTTTAGACGAGACACAACCCCATGGGATCTGTAAACAAGTGAGGTGTGACTTCACCGGCTTGGCAGCTGTTAACACTTTGAACAACAGACTTGTTCTCACTGTCCTGTCATGAGGCAGCTGAAGACAGGAAAGCTCAACCTCTCTAACTCTGCACCACAGGGAACCACAGTGCTTTCCCTCATGCTCTCCCACATCCTCCCCTTCTAGCAATTTCCACTGCCATTTCCCACCCTGCATAAACCTAGCACTCTTGGGCTTTCAAAGGCAATGCTCTGTCCCTCTCAGCTTGGTGCCTTTGGCCTTCCCACCCTTCATCACCACACACAAGGGCTGGAGGCAACAGCAAGGAGAAGCAGATTGGCACAAGCCTTTCCTCAGAATCCCGAATGGAAACATTTGTTTCTTCTTTGGCAGCCACTAATGCTTGCTTCAGCACCAGCTCCCAGCACCCTCCGAAAGCTGGTCCCCTGGAAGCAAAAAGCCAGAGCAATGCTCCTGTGCAAAGCGCCTACCACATCAAAAGCAGTTGATCTAACCCTGTTCTTACCTTTAAAGGGACCTTAGGGGAATACGCTGCTTCGCGCTTTGCCATGAGAGAGAGCTTCTTCATTAACCACAGCAATGTGGCTGCCTGGCCTTTCTCTTCCGTGTCCTCTTTTTCTTCCTCTCCTTGAGCAGAAATGTCTTTATCTTCCTCATCTGAGGCCTCCTGCTCTTCCATTTCACAGCCAAGTTCTCCTTCAGCTTCTTTACCCTCTTCTAAGGCAGGGGCTAGCAAGTAGACAACTTTGGCCACAAAAAGCAAATTCTTTATAACCTGAAGTGTAAAAACAGAGTAGTCAGTCACTGTAGGTTCCCTCATTGTCAGCACCAGGGCATGTAAGAGACTAGATCTGAAAGAGCAACCTGCCAACTGAAGAGGCTGTAATGGCTTCAACCCCTGCCATGTGAGCGAGCATGTTGCTTGTAACAGGAAGGTCTACCTCAGTATCCTCCTGCAGTTTGGGAGAGTCTTCCTCCATGAGCTACTGTGCCTTTTGGGCTCCAGCTCTTCCTAAGGCAGGGCTTCTCCTTTTGTCTTCACCTCTGGCAGCCCCAGAAAATCTCTGACCAGGTTCACAGACCTGTGAAGCTGTCACACCTTCAACCAACAGCATAAAGCTGGACTAAACATTCCCAGCAAACAGCCAGGGCTCCAGTGCAGCTGCAGGGAACCAGCACCAGAGATCTGGATTCCTGCTCCAGGATGTGGTTGTCCAACCTAGTCCAGTCTGGGCTGCATAGCCAGACTCTCCCTGACGGAGGGCTGGGCAGAAGGGACTCCAGTCCTGCCCTGCATTGTGCCCCCCCTTTCTGTCCCTGCCACCCCTCAGCCCTTGCAGCAGAGTGACACCACAAAGGGGACTTTCTGGGCTTCTCTGAGACATGCACCTGCTCAGATGCCTCACCACAGAGCGGCTGGCCCTGCCCTGGGTATTTACCCTGAGCCGCCCCGATCCAGCAGCGCTGCTGTCCTGACTAGGACATAATGCTCGCTCACGTTATGGGCCAGGGCCTGCTCCGTGCCCTCCTGCAGCCCCAGACCTGCTCCTGCTCTTACCTGCTCTCCCAGAGACAGGTCCAGGAACTTGGACTGCAGCTGATGGCAGAATGCAAACACGAGTTCCTTCATCTGAGGAGAAGAAGAAGAAGGAAATTAGTTCATGAAAGGAGCCAGTAGCAGAAACCCAAAGCAGTGTTTTGCAGTCACCAAAGGTGGTTCCCAGGAGAGGCCAAGAGATTGGCTCAGCACTACTTTTCTGCCTGCATCTTGCAGCCTTAGGGGAATCTTTGTGCTGCTGGGAATAAGACACCAGAGAAACCCCCTTCCAGCAGCAGAAACACCTCCTCAAATGCTTCAAGTGATCAGGATTAGGCAGAAGACAAGCAACTAAACATGCGTGCCACACTATTAACACTACTTTTATGTCTCAACCAGGGAATAGACATGGGGGAAGGAGTAGTACGGACATCAATACCTTTTTGTCCAGTTCAGCAGTCAAGAAGACTGTGGATGCAGACAGCTCCTCTAACACCTTTTTCCTCTTGCCTGCCTTTCTTTCCCTCCACTTGCTGACAAGATCTTCTGGCTTGTAAGATGCAAACAACAAGCCAAAGATCTCAGTAGCTGTCAGCCAGACCCAGCTGTGGGGATACCAAAGGTGAGACTGGACATGACCTGGGGGAAAGAAAACCTCTTTCAGCACAGGAGCTGGTCCAGTGAGAGCAGAAAAAGAACCAGCTCCCTCAAAGAATTACCGCAGCACATGCTACAATAAAGAGATGAAGGAAATGAACTGTGCTCATCTGCTCAGAACATAATCAAAGACTTCCTAGCATCTCTACTCAGCCAAAGCAGAGAGCGACATAACGCTACAGGTAGCCAAATGTCCTCACAGTGACCAGGAGCTCTTGAATGCAACCACAGCCTGTCCAAACATTCAAAGACGGGGCCATTGCTGGAAAGCAACGACAACTGGGCAGGAAAAGTGGGCATAGCACAGAAAAGACACTTGCTCCAATCTCGGTGACAAGTTGTGTTTCTGCAGCAACAATGGCCCCCTGAGGGACTCAGTGACACAGCTCATCTGTCCGCAATGTCTGGGGACTGGCTGCTGTGAGACTCAGGTGAACTGGCCCTGCTGTAGATGGTCAGATTGAACCTGTGGATGAAGGCTGAGGATGCTTCAGAGAAGAGATGGAGCTTCCCTCTTGTCTTGCCTCTGCCCAAGCTGCACATCACCAAGCAACCCAGGATTTACAAGGCTTATCTCGTATCTCACTAAAGGCACATGGCAGGCTGAACTCTTCGAACGGTTTGACCAGCCAGGTCCAGGCCTTCTGACAGCAGCAAGTGAAGCAGTTAAAAACAAGGCAATTAAATGCCAATAAGCCAACCTGACACTGTACAATCTCACTCATAGGAAAACTGCTTGAATCAAACGACCTCCAGGCCTTAATATCCCAGCAAACACACAGTATTTATACACTATTACCATTTCTCATCACTTGCTGTCTGGTATGTATGATCTCATCAGGAAAATCTCATCATCCCAGGAGAACTCAACATTTTCGTCTAAGAGGATGTAATTATGGTCAAATATGCAATAGTTTGCAACTATTTGCTCTTGGGATAATAGAAAATACCTCCCAGCAACTGAGACAGAGGGCGTATTGTTTTCATCAACATGGAAGTTTTTCTGTTAACACCTTCTCTTTCACTGCCCAGTAACTGCCGTGTATTTGCATTTTGCAGCATGCAAACCTTGTACAACAAAGTTCAACTGTTTGTATTAGCATGTGAAAAACCCACAGCACACAAAGAATCTTCCTTGTAACACAGCTGTAATAATTCTTAATACTTACCCCAGATATTGGTCACAATGTCACTATTCTTAGTTAATTGAATCAAGTTGCACTCTGTGATAAGCTTTGTTATCAGCACAAGAAAGCTGAACAGCAGCCTATCTGCAGCCTTCTCCTCCTCCTCTTCAGTTATCTAATAAAATCAGCAAGTCAAGAAAGACACTTATGAGAACCTGAAGACAGTGATTATTTACTAGATAAATTTCAGATCAACCCTGCAAAGAAATAGAAGACTGACTTGTACTCAATTCCCAAAATAAACAGAAGAGAAGTAGCTCCACTAAAGCATTTCCTCTGGAGACTAAACCTCTGCAGGAGATTGTTACTGGAATCATTCTTCTCGGGTTTCATACAGATGTTACTATAACAAACTGTTAGGTTTCCAAATGCAGGCAATTACACTCACATCGTGTATCATTTATGTCTACATGTATTTGTGTGCATTTGAGTCTCATTAGAGTCAAGCTGAGCACTGATTTGCTTGTGTCACCTGGGAAGCCCCACGTTGTTATGACAACACCGTGTGTGCTGTGTTTTACTAAATCACCCTCACCCTGCCTGCAGTCACCAGCTGGCTTGATATAACTAGTCAGTGCTTTACCTACGTGTTGCAGCACAGGGAGTGATTACACTGAATTTCTCCTCACTGCAGGTATTTCGTTTTCCCCTCTTTACAATTTACATACCCTGAGGTGGTTCTTGCTCAGCGTGTTGCCTTTGCACATGAGTAACATACGTGGCCACTCCCCAGCTGCAGTGACTGAGATCCCTTTGGGATTATTACACGCCAAACAGAATCTGAGGCAGCCTTGTTATTCTGAGTTAATCATGTGCACTCAAAAGATTTTCCATAAAACAAAACCATGGTCTGAAGTACAGGAAGGGAGCTCCTCTGAAAGTTAAAGCTGTAGATAACACTGAACAAAGCAGACAGTCACAAGCGATGCGCTCCTGACCTCCCACGCTTACACAAGTTTGCAGCTAGCAGTCACGTTTCCCAGTGAAAGGGATGTTGTCAGTGTGATTTCCAACTAAACAGACTCTAACCCATCCCAGTGCTACCTGTGCACCCTGCTGTTCTTTGTGATGGTAGTTTTTGTAACTCCAAACAAAATACAGAAGTCCCTCCTTTCCTGCTACCACAGAAAAGACCAGGAGCCAGGAAAACTGTCTCAACATACCTACTGCTACATGCTGTTAACCCACCAAATCATACAGGTAAAAACCAAAAGCCTGAGACTTAAGGGCTGTCTCAAGAACCCCTTCCACTCACAGAGATCTTGACAAGAGTCTGGGGCAAGGAGCAATATGTCTGCCGGTTACATAGTATGTCTGCAGGCTCAGGCCACGTAGCTTTGCAGTTCCTTTGCCTCTTGTGCAGTGACACACAACATCAGACTTGGCCTTGCAGACAAAAAATATGGTTCTAGGTCAGTGAGGTCCCCTTCAGAACAAATGTGTGTTTCGTGCCTTTCCTCAGTCCCAAACAGTAGGTCCAACAGTTAAATCTCTCCTGCACTTCTTCCCTTTTTTCTGTTTTCTTATTTCTCCTTCCCCAAACCTCACACACAGGAAAAATTACTTACGTTTTCAAATTTAATTGGGTTGATTTCTTTTTCAATCAAGGTGAGAACAGCTTCAAGCCGCCGTTCAAACATTACTCCCTCCACTTCAACAAACAAGCCGCATGCCTGGGCAGCCAACCTCCTGTGTGAGCTCTGCCAACAGAAAGAATAACACTCCTTGTTACTTCTTGATAATCATATCCCGCAGCTCCCATGTGCAGGAGCTGGTAGCAACTCCTACTTCTGCCTGTAGCAACAGCACCTTAAGAGAAACTGATTGTCAGAGTACTATCTAAAAAGGAGATGCTGCCAGCTAGGGACAAAAGCGCCTGGCAGCACAAGTTATCCCTGGAAACACATCCTAAAACTGAATGCCAAACAGCCTTTTCCAGCCTAGTTCCCAGCTGCAAAGCTCTGGGAGCTACTTTGCACTCTTCACAACGCAACAGGCAGCTTACAGCTATTAGAGATGAAAAGAATGAAGTGTTGAGGAACACTTATTCCACCAGTGTAGGGGGACAGAATCTGAATCCAGTTTGAGAATAACTAAATATCCAGGATCAAAATGGGAGATCTGTACGACCAGGTTTGCCGCCTTCCAGCTGCTGGCAACATAATGAAGCAAGTCTGAGCTAAAGACAGTACAAAAAGCCAATTACTGGGATCAGAAGAGCTTTAAGGAATTTGCTCAAACCTTTAACCTGAGCAAAGACTACGCTTGGCAAAATTCCTGACCCAAAAGAGGAACTGTTAGTGAGCAACGTAATGCCGCTGAGAAGTCTGTAGGCTGCCCTACAGTGGCAGCAGTTCCCTACATTTGCGCAGCCATACTAAGCTATATCATTTCTTCCTCTTCTTACCAGCAAGAGCTATGGTGCTGAGCACAGCTCTAAAGAGCTTTTATTCTGGGCTGAACCTTGCTCATACTCCTTTCCTAAAACTACCAAGTGAGGCATAACTAAACTCCCCAATCCACTAGACCTGGTAGTAGCAATCCCTCACTTGCCTTAATCTTACTCAGCCCCCAAACAGAATCCAGACCTGGTCAGTGAAAAGACCAAAGAATACCTTCTGGCTGTGAAACCACTCTGTGACCAGCGAAAACATCAGATCTTGTTTTTCATTGTTTATCTTACTGAGGAGAGATTTACACGTCAAAGCCGCCATCTTTTTGCATTTGGCAGAGTCATCATTTATCATCATCATACAAAGAGAGAGAAAAAACAGTCCGCAGTATTTGTGGAGGAGATCCTAAAAAGAAACAATCATTAGCCAATAGCACATCCCAAGGAGCTTCTGGCATTTAGAGGGGAAAAGAGGAGTATTTGGGGGTATTTGTTGTATCGCATACAGGAACAATGTCAGCTCCGAGCAGGGTCCACATCAAGGCAGGTGAACTGAAACGAGGGGATGCTCCAGTTGTTGGAGCACACAGGGAGTGTACAGCAGCTCCAGCTCTGTCCTGGCTCTTACTTGCCCCTGAGACAGCAGCTTGTCAAATCTTAAAAGGGCATTTTCATGCCAGCTCTCATTGAAACAGGCTTAAGACCCTCAGCACTGCAGCAATCAGTCCAAAGGCCCTTCTCTCAGAGATAGATCTTTGCTACTTCACAGAGTTGTTGGGAAGCAAGTTGAGATACTAAATCTAATCAGGCAGTGGTGAAACACAGCTTAACTGTGCAGAATTTCTCCTCCTTCCTCCCAAATTCTTGCTTGCTTGCACTCCTCTCAGTCTCCTGAATGCTCAGTCAAGCTCCAGCTGCAGAGCTTCAAGGCAGCTTAGCATTTTGTGTATATTATCCTGCAGAGATGCACGGTTATTTTTTAGCTTTCATTTTGATCTACCTCACTGAGAAGCCCTCCCTCCCAGTCAGGCCAACAAAACAGAGAGGGTACATCACTTACCAGTCCAGTCAACAACATCCCTCATAAACATTAAAAAAAAAAGACACAATGAAACAAGCTTCACTTTCTATTTATACCCCATTTCTTTAACTGGCTGCGTTTCTTTCTGGCATAAATCACCATGAAGTTTATCCAAAATCCAGCTGACAGAGCTTTATTTTACTTGCAGACTGAGCACATGAGATAAAGAAGTACTGCACGCTTTCCAGCATGTCATTTCTCTTTTGAAACAAAGCCAAGTTCTTTGGAGTTAAGTGAATGTTCTGCTCATGATAAGAGATAACAGGAACTACTGAGTGCTTCCAAAATGAACTGCTCTGAAAACCACACTAACTGCTTGATGCCTGGAACACCGAGGGGTGCTCGTTACCTTTGGGAACATGTCGAGGAGGTATGCAACCATCTCCAGTGCAGATTCTCTTCCAGTTTCATACTCGTACCTGCAAGGAAATGATTAACAGTTAGGGCTGGGTTCATACTCTAGAAAGTTGCTAACCATTTACAAGAATGGCCAATGCCAGAAACACACACCAACAGGGAACAGCTACCAGACCTGGTCTGATACTTAGGAGAGGAGAAGCAGCAGGCCCACCAACTCCATCTCTCAGAGAACGGGCACAGGAAGATAAACAGACAAAAAATGGCTCTAGTCAACTTGAGTCAGCACAGTCGTACTGTGCTATGGTGCTGGGGAACATGTTTAACTACTGCCATCTTCCCTTACACTTTCTGGATTTTCTAGTTCACCTGGTTCACAACCAGTGGAGCTGGTTAACCACTAAGCAAACAATAGAACCTTAGCATAGAAAGAGATAAAGAACAACAAAACCAGCTGTGAGACAGGGAAGAGAAAAAAGCACTTGCTTTATCAAAAAGCCTCTGAAAAAGGGTTAAGTGTTTTAGAGGTAGGAAAATCAAGACTTCACTCACACTCTCTGCTCCTCACAAATAGCCCTTTGGCACACAAGGTGGCCACTAAAGTTTTATTTAAGCAACAAGGTTCTCTTCTGACAGAGATGTCAGGAATATAAACTCACTCCAGTTGTGCAAGTATGAAATCCAAATTGGGCTTCAGCTTGTCACCAAGGGGGTAGTCCAGAATATATTTTAAGTAAATCTGGAAAGAAAAAAACAACACCACAGAGAGGAGTTACAAGAAACACTCAGGAAACCTTGTAAAAACATGAAGAAAATTCAGTGATCGAGCAGCAAGTTTTCAAGAATCATCCCTTTCATCTCATTTCTATTACACAAGGGGCCAACAACTGCTCTCAAGCTCTGTGCCCAGAACAGGATCTGCAGGCGTTTGACAGCTGCCAGATCAGTCTTTAGAGTATTACTGTGATTTGTGCAGGCTTCTGTTAAAAGAGATTCTGCATCCTTCAAAATTCATCCTGTAACTATAGAAATGCACTATTTGGCTATGCACAGCTCCTGCTGCATCTGTATCCTAATGCTCAAAATGAAGCAACCAATTCTGCCTTTCGGTTGCTTTCAGCTTGGAAAGAATGAGGAAGTAGTGGGAAGGAACCAAGGATTTCTGGCAAGGGTAAGGCTCTTAGTTACATAGGTATGCCATGGCAAGCAGTCTTGCAGTTCTGCTACGTACCAGTCACAAGAACTCAAGCCAGCCAGGTAACACGGG